AATCACATTTTTCATCTTACCCTCAAAACTAACTTTCATCTTTGCCTTCTCCTCATTGGCATGATTTAACAATATACATTCTGATTTATCCCAATTCACCTTTAATCCAGTTACCTCTTCAGTTATCTTTAAATGTTCCTTAATCCTTTCTATTGAATCTACTGGATCCTCAATTATTTATAATGTAGTGGTAAATCACTTCTGAGTGATTCATACCTAGGAAATTCTGAAAGGGTTGTAATGTATCAGAATCATTTTGATGCCACAATTATTATCAATTATAGTAGCCTAATGAGAAACAATGTCATATTTTCATTTTTTTTTCCTGCTCCATCCATTGCAATGGCAGACTTAGTACAAAGGCTGGCAACTTCCTCAGGTCTGAGAGCTACACCACACTGTCATTTCTATGGACTTTGCCCACTGAAGTTAACAACAGCACTTTTGCTTTGAAATCATAGTTTCCTTGCTCAACACAAGATGCACACCTTGCTTATACAGGGATTAATAGTTTCAAAAGCATACTAGAAGCCTTGATTTCCCAGTAAGGCACACATCTGTTTAAAAGAAAACAGACACTTTAAACAGCTGTAATGGCTTTTTCCCATACCACCACCAAATTTGGTAGCAAAAGCCACAATAACAAGAGGGACTCTTGGCAGCCACAGAATGGAGTGACTAGGGTACATGCATTGTATAAGCTGCATGTTACTGATCCCTGATGTAATGAATACTAGGACAAAGAAGGAATGTGGAATAGAGATAAATTCTTTATCCCTCATTTGGAACTGAATTAATTGACATAGAAAGTGTGAAGAATCGATTCAGGCTTTATCTTCCAAGTTTGTCTACCTCTCTTGTTAAACTAACCTGTTCTGTAATGCATACTCCAGTTTGATATTTTCAAGTAATTCCATTATCTAGTACAAGACAACTTCCTATGCTTCAAAGAAGATACAATTTGAGCATCTCTACTGATTTCCATAGGACTGAAATTAAGTATTTTATTGCATGCTGAAGTGTGATATGATTTCAGTAAGTCTGCACAGCTGGTTTTGGACAGCACATATACAACATAAAATACATAGATTTCCACTCAAAATATTCAAGTATTAAAATCAAGTTTGTTTTCTAATATATTAAACAATTTTTAGGATTCTCTTACATTGATTGCCCTACCAGAAATGTCTTTTTTTCTTGATACACTGGGAGGAAGGCATGATAAGTACTGCTATAAAAGCCATTTCAAAGATTGTGTATTCCATAATTAACTTCTGCCATTTAACTCCACATTGTTCTCGTCAGTGATAATACACTATCAGACTTAGCTGAAGAAATACATACCTTATATTTGCAGTCTTCACCAGCTGACAGGATAAGATCATTAACTGAGTTCCAATCAACTTTTAGAATAATTCCATCATGTGCTTTCCACTGGTAAGGATGCAAAAAAAAAACAGTAACAAAGTATATCAAACTCCATCTCTGTGCTATGAATAATGTAGATTTTGCAGCTGGATAATCAGTTATTTTTTTACTCCCTCCCTATCCTTTTGGTTTGTTTACCACCTTGTCATATTACAAACAGCCAGAATCATTAGTTATTATATCTTATGCAACAGTACTAAATATAAATCAGGCCATGGTTTCAGTCAAATAAGTCAAATCAGTCATTTTGTTTTTAAAGAATACCTTTTTAAAAACATGTAGTATGAAAAGAAGTGAGGTTAAATCAATGAATTTACACACATTTGCATCATGCTTGTACCATGTTGAAATGAACAATCAATGTAAATATATTTGGTTAGACTGTTTTAAAATGTACACTCTTTGTATACTTTTGTCATTCTCAAATAAAATTGAATAAATCTGGATATGTAGTACAAACAATTACTTACATTACTAAATCAACCATTGCATCCCATATTTCAGCATATCTTCACTCTAAGAAACCAGTCATGCTAAAAAATTGGCCTGGCACACATGTGACATTTACTGTACTGTTTCCCTGAAAATAAGACCTAACCTGAAAATAACCCCTAGTATGATTTTTCTGGATGCTTGTAATATACCTAAGCCCTATCCAAAAAATAAGCCCTAGTTAAGTGAAATCCTACCTTCCACCATTGTGCAGCAACCAGAAGAAGATGACGTGACTGTATTGAATAAATGTACAGTATACTGTACATGAAAAAAATAAATCATCCTCTGAAAATAAGCCCTAATGTGTTTTTTGGAGCAAAAATTAATATAAGACCCTGTATTATTTTCAGGGAAACAGGGTACTGTAGTTATACAGTGGTGAATTGGCTGCAAGACTGCATGGTATCTCTTGTCCCTTTCCCCTAATCCCTGTCTTGACATTTAAAGCCTTATGTTTGTCTTGCCTTAATGATTTAGCAGCGTTGCTGGCATGGCATTTTTCTCTTAAGAGGACTTGGTCTGCGAATTCCGGACTTTTATGGTCCCTTGGACTAAGGTGGCAAATTCCAGGTTTCGGCGTTTCTGCCCATTATCTCCCCAGCACCTTCCTATGGAACCAGAGCAGGGCAAATCAAGACAAGGTTTGAAAACCTATTTGTTCAACTTGGAGCTATGGGTGTAGGGAGAGGTTAATGACCAGTGTGTTTTATTTGAACTTATTAATTGGTTTGTTAGCAGTTAGCTAGCTACGGTATTTTTAAATCACTGCCTATTCCAGGGAATTTTATGTTGATAAACTGATTTTAATGGAATGCACTCTGGCGTAGAGTGCAATATTATAAATTATATTATTATTATTCCTAGCTCTTCCCTACTATAACGTAAATCTTGCTCTTCCATTCTGGCCTCCTTCATATGGACAAGGATTATCTCACTACCACTCTCAATTACAATTTCTAAATAATCTTCACACTCAAGTAAGCTTTAATTGCTGTTAACATTGTTTCCATCCAGTGTTTGAAATTTGTGAGTGACCATAGGTAAACAACCAGAAATATATACTGGTTCTAAAATAAACATTTAATATCTCTACTACTTTTATAAGAAATCAGTTTGAACCACAACATCACATGTCAAGACTGCCCATTCATTTTACTAAATAAAAATGATGCTCAATGTCCTTGTATGCACACATAAGCTTTGAGCCACATATTATATTTTATATTTAAAAGTTCCATCTTATCAGTACTTGCCATTGATTACAATGTTCGTAGTCCTGCCAGCACAGCTTTTTTTTAATTTTTTTTCCACACTGGAGCACTACAGCAGACTTGTGACTCAGGCTAATTCATTTAGAATTGCTTCTTGTAAAAATATAGTCCCGAAGCAGTCAGCTGTGGTATCTCCCAATGATTATAGACCAGTAGCTTTAACATCTGTTATTATGAAATGTTTTGAGAGATTGGTGCTGGATTACATTAAGGCTAGTCTTCCACCTTCTTTGGATCCATGGCAATTTGCATACAGGAGAAATAGATCTACTGATGATGCTGTGTCCATCCTACTCATACTGTATTGAGCCACTTAGAACAACAGGGAACTTATGCGAGGCTGTTGTTTATGGATTATAGCTCTGCTTTTAACACCATTCTACCAAATAGGTTGTTTTTAAAAATGATCAACCTGGGATTACCTCAGGAGATCTGCATGTGGATAAAGGATTTTCTGACAGATAGGCCACAGTCAGTAAGGATGGGATCCCACCATTCTTCTACCCTGGTACTAAATACAGGAGCTCCCCAGGGCTGTGTGCTAAGTCCCTTCCTCTATTCCCTGTACACACATGATTGCACCCCACTATATAACACCAATGCAATTATTAAATTTGCGGATGATACGACAGTGGTGGGGCTCATAAATAAGAACAATGAGTCTGCTTATAGAAAGGAAGTACAAAGACTGATACTATGGTGTAAAGAAAATCATCTCACACTTAACATCAAAAAAACTAAAGAACTCATAATTGATTTTAGGAGGAAGAGAAATGTACATTTACCACAGTACATAAATGGTGAGGAAGTGGAGAGAGTTGGTAGTTTTAAATTTCTGGGTACTTACATCTCAGAGGACCTCTCATGGACTATAAATGCCAACATGCTAATAAAGAAGGCACAGAAGAGGCTGTATTTCCTGAGAATGCTCGGGAAGTTAAATTTATCACAGCATTTACTTCTGTCCTACTACCGTAGCACCATTGAGAGTGTCCTAACTTATGGCATTCTGGCATGGTTTGGGAGTAGCTCTGTAGCGGACAAAAAAGCTCTACAGAGAACCATTAAAATTGCCCAGAATATCATCGGGCTCCAGCTACCAACCCTGGATGACATCTTCACATCCCACTGTCTGAGGAAGTCACACAGCATCCTGAGAGACTCTTCCCATCCTGCTTATAACTTTTTTGAACTGTTACCGTCTGGCAGAAGATATAGAACAATTAAGACTCGGACCACACGTTTTCTAAATAGTTTTTATCCTAGAGCTATAATTACAATTAATAATGAGCTTAAAGACCACCAGTAGTGAATAATTAGTTGGACTGTGTTACTTGGCCTGAGGTGTAGATGTTTGTATTTTTAGTGGGGGACTTTTAGTGGGTAGGGAGTGTTTGGGGAATTTTATGTGTATGCATGTGTCTGGTCTCTGGGTGTCTGTGAATTTCGTTGTATGATATACTGTGTATATACTTACAATGACAATAAATGATTATTATTATTATTATTATTGTTGTACCCAACCCACAACAGTATGAAATGTTACATATAGCACATTAATAGTACCTGCAGAACTTTAGCATTTGGCTGAAGTGGCTTGATAATTAGCTGCTTTCCTGATGTATAGAGAATCAGAATCTGGTTAAAAAATAACCCACAACAGTATGAAATGTTACATATAGCACATTAATAGTACCTGCAGAACTTTAGCATTTGGCTGAAGTGGCTTGATAATTAGCTGCTTTCCTGATGTATAGAGAATCTTTTCAGAATCTGGTCCCCAAGCTACTGAATATATTGGTGTTCCTGTGGAGAGCAGGAGAAAGAGAGAGAAAGGAAATAGAGAATTTGGCATGCATTTGCCCGGAGTCCTAATAATATATTTAGTATTTTCAAACAATGAGACCTGATCTCTGTATTTTAAAAACAAATAATATTTGCTATTAAATACTGATATACGTACCAGCAAAAGACATACATTGCTCTTGCACATACATTTTTAAATGGTACCTGTGCGGGCTCAATGAGAGTCACATACATCAGTTGAACTCATTCCTAGTGGCATTTTACTACCCAAAACAAAACAAAAAAAACACACACAAAAAAACAACAAAAATCAGAAGGATGGTTAAATTTGGTGACACAAACCACTGGCTGCAGAGCTACAACCAGAGTAAAACAAAAAAAACAAAAACAAAAAAACAGAAACAAAAAAACAACAAAAACCAGAAGGATGGCTAAATTTGGTGACACACACCACTGGCTGCAGAGCTACAACCAGAGCTAATTTTAAAACTCCACCTACATATTATAAACAAGCCACTGTGGAGCAGTGGACAGAGTAAGGAACTAGGGCACAGGTGACCTGAGTTAAATCCTTCCAGCCATGGAAATCTGTTGGGAGGAGACACTGCCAAAACCACTCAATAATGATGATAATGATCATCATCATCTTAGAATTGCAGAGCTGGAACTGTCCCTATAGATCGAGTCTGGCCCCTGTCAAGGAGGCACAGTGAGGAATCAAAGACCTAAACCACTGAGCTATCTCATACATCTTGAAAACCCTATTAAGGTTTCTATAAGTCAAATGACACTTGACAGCACACACAACTTATATTTTAAATACATAAACTTCTTTCTCTCTAAAATCTGCTAATTCCAATCTGTAAATTATCTTTAACAACTCATCCCCCCCTGAAAATGCCACTAAGAATCATACTACTAAAAACTATGTTAGATTAAAAAAATTAAAACTAGTTAAGTTGCTATGTAGGACACATTAGTTTCCTCTTCATTTTGTCATCAGTCACATTTAAAACTACATTAGAACTCAAGTTACTATCAATGGGGAAATAAAATGCATAATGTATATCCTGTTTTAATATGACAGGGGGCTTTATACCTAAAACAAATGTTTTGTCTCTGCATCATGAGTGTAACAGTGATGTAGTTTTAAGGTTTAACTGGTAGGAGTTAAACTCTCTGCTTAGTAGAAAACCAGAGTTTTCAAAGGTTGCCAAAAGAAGTATATCATAGTGCGTCACAGTATGCTCCAACAATGTTGTCCAAGAAGACAGCCGAAAAAAAGCACAAAGATTAGAACTCTGAATGAGAATCTTAAGTAATTGAAAGGAAGTGAGGGGAAAGTGCTAGAACAGCAGATCCCAACCTTGGATCTCCAGATGTTCTTGGACCAAAACTACCAGAAGCCTACACCACTAGCAGTACTGGCCAATATTTCTGGGAGTTGTAGCCCAAGAACATTTGGGAACTCAAGGTTGGGAACCACTGTGCAAAAAGATGTAATTGTTTCACATGTAGAAGGTTGCTTCCTGTTTTAACTTTTGGGGGAAGCACTTTGATCAAATAAGTATTTCAATTTAAAAAAGCAAAGATAGAGAAAGGTAGCATTTTAGGCAGCTCCTTTTCAATGAGAGAACACCCTCCCCATGCTTCCAAAGCTTGTTTCAAAGGCATGTACCAACACTGAAAGTATCTCTCTGTTTGGACTGGTTTTGGTAGACATGGTTAAAACCTTAATGGAATATTAGATTATAATATTAGATTAGGTTATAACATATGTCCACCATATGCCAGCTTTTTAAAATCACAAGACAGCCAATGGGTCCATACATAAAAGCCTACTGCATAAGCATCTGGACACCAGCTGCCAAGCACTACCAGCCCCTGATGTAAGAATAAAGGACTATAAACATTCTTTGACTCAGAAGATACAAGACAAGGAGCTGAAACCATGACTAGTCTACCTTTTGGTTGGTAGGGACTCGGGTTCAGGAGAAAAAAAACACAATATACAAAGCTCAGTCTTTGGATCAGTCTTTAAATTCTAGCCATTCTCAAACATTGAGTGTCAACAGTAGACCCAACAGCTGTGATCAATACCAAAGATTCAGATCAGACCAAAAGGTTCTGACAGAATATGGGTAAGTTCCATATTTATAAGACAGCTGTATCAGAGTCAGCTCTGAAGAACAGACACAATGGCCTAAATCCACTTGTGAATATTTACTGACACAACTACTTCCATCAGAGAGTAAGGATAGGGTATACCCTCCTTCCCACTAAAGCTCTGTGTTAACTCCCATCTCCATTGGCTGTGGAACAATAGGAGACTCTCTAGAGCTGGTTTTCAAGTGGTTCCAAGAGCTGTGATGAGGGATAAACCCCATCATAAATGTGTTGCAAATTTCAGCATGAAATTGGGTTTATATGAAGTAGCATGGATGGCCTATGGCCACTAGCACACCTCAGTGATATACAGTTCAATCTTTGACTCTCACCCAGAAAGTCCTTAATTCAGAACTATCACTCTATACCATTCCCTAGCCTATCAAATTTTAGGACTAAAAGCCAGTTATGTTTCATGGAATTAAATCACACATTATCCTTTTTAATAATTTCTGTTGCAAATCAGCGAAGGTACAGAATGGAACATCACTAGTGGAAGGCTCCTCTTCATTGAGTGAAGAGCAACAAGGATGGCTGTTTAGGAAAGGTCTAGAGATGTGGCAGCTGACACAAAGATAGACAGGAAAAGATAAAGAATAAAAGTTGACTGTACATAGGTCTCCTGCTAGTCAATATGGTAGCCATCTGGATGCTTTGAAAGTCTTTTCTTGACACATATAACATGATGATGGTGGTGGTGGTGCTGTATTTCTCCCAACAAGGGACCCAAAGTGACTCACAACATTAAAATGTACAGTTAAAGTTAAAAACACAAAGTTAAAAACACACTAAGTTAAATATTAAAAGACAAAATAAACAACATATGATTTAAAAGAAAATTATAAGATTAAAACATGAAAAGGAGGAAAAGATTAAAATTATTTGGTAAAATGGGGTTCAGGGATTCAGTTGTAATTGTTAGAAGCCTGACCAAAGAGGTGGGTCTTTAGCTTTTTTCAAAAGGATAAAAGGGAAGGGGCCAGCCATCTTGATCTCCCGAGAGAGTGTGTTCCATAGCCTGGGAGCTGCCACAGAGAAGGCCCTTTCCCATGTCTGCATCAGCTGTGCTTGTGTTAGCAATGGATTGAGAGGAGGGCCTCCTCTGGTGATCTTAATCACCAAGAAGATGCATATAGGGAGATACGGTCCTTCAGGAAGAGTGGACCCAAGCTGTATAGGGCTTTATAGGTAATGACCAGCACTTTGAATTGTGCTCAAAACCAGACTGGTAGCCAGTGCAGTTCTTGTAACAGGTGTGTTACATGTTCCCTGTAGCTGGCCCCACTCGGTGGCCTGGCTGCAAAGTTTTGCACCAGATGAAGTTTCTGAACTGTCCTCAAAGGCAGCCCCACATAGAGCGAGTAATCCAAACGGGATGTAACTAAGGCATGTATCATTGTAGCCAAATCCAACATTGCAAGGAACGGGTGCAGCTGGCGCACCAGCTTTAGCTGTGCAAATGCACTCCTGGCCACCGCCGAGACCTGGGCATCCAAGCTTAGGGATGAATCCAGGAGTACACCCAAGCTCTGGACCTCAGTTTTCAGAGGGAGTATAACCCCATCCAGCACATGTAGTATCCCTATTCCCTCATCTGTCTTCCGATTAACCAGGAGCTCCTCCGTCTTCTCTGGATTAAGTTTCAGTTTGTTTGCCCTCATCCAGCCGATTACTGATGCCAAGCACTGGTTTAGAATCCAGACAACTTCCCTGGAATTAGGTGGAAAGGAGAGACAGGGTTGAGTGTCATTCACATACTGGTGACACCAAACGCCAAAACTCCAGACAACCTGTCCCAGCAGTTTCATTTAGATGTTAAAAAGCATGGGTGACAAAGCAGAACCCTGAGGAACACCACAGGCCAATAACCAGGGCATTAAACAGGAGTCACCCAGCACCACCTTCTGAGTTGTCCCCTCCAGGAAGGACTGGAGCCACCGTAAAACAGTGCCTCCTAGTCCCATCCCAGAGAGACGGCCCAGAAAGATACCATGTTCAATGGTATTGAAAGCCACTGAAAGATCCAGCAAAACCAACAGTGACACACTCCCCCTGTCCAGTTCCTGGCTTAGGTCATCCATCAAGGTGACCAAAGCTGTCTCTGTCCCATAGCCAGGCCTGAAACCAGATTGAAACGTGTCTAGCTAATCTGCTTCTTCCAGGAATCCCTGGAACTGAAAAACCACCACACACTCCAGTACCTTGCCCAGGAGTGGGATGTTTGAGACTGGCCAGTAGCTATCCAGTACCCTGGGATCCAGGGAGGATTTCTTCAAAAGTGGTCATATTACTGCCTCCTTTAAGCAAGCAGGGATCCTACCCTGCTGCAAGGAAGGATTTACCACTCCCCATACCCAATCAGCATTGCTCCTCTGGCTGCTTTTATGAGCCAGGAAGGGCAAGGGTCCAGCGCACATGTGGTGGCATTCACCTCTCCAAGAATCCTGTCCACATCATCAGGCTGCACTAACTGAAAAAATATCCATTAAAACAGGACAAGCTGGGGCCAAAGTTACATCCACTGCATCTGTATCAATTACAGCATCCATGTTTTACTACTCATGTAAGCCACCCCGAGTAGACTCTGTCTGGGGGGTGGGCGGGGTATAATTCCAATAAAAGTAAAAAGGTAAAGTAAAAAATCAGAGTGGATCCGAGCGACTTTATCAGCAAAGTGTCGTGCAAATTCCTCATAGCAGGTTGTGTAGTGGTCAATATTTTGCTCTTTTGGTGGGGCATGTATTAAGTCCCTGACCACACAAAACAACTCCACTGGATGACTTTGTATAGATGCAATGGCAGCAGCAAAGAAGCTTTTCTTTGCTGCAGCCACT